CGTGTGTGTGTGTGTGTGTGTGTGTGTGTGTGTGTGTGTGTGTGTGTGTGTGTGTACTCACCTAGTTGTACTCACCTAGTTGAGGTTGCGGGGGTCGAGGCCGAGCTCCTGGCCCCGCCTCTTCACTGATCGCTACTAGGTCACTCTCCCTGAGCCGTGAGCTTTATCATACCTCTGCTTAAAGCTATGTATGGATCCTGCCTCCACTACATCGCTTCCCAAACTATTCCACTTACTGACTACTCTGTGGCTGAAGAAATACTTCCTAACATCCCTGTGATTCATCTGTGTCTTCAGCTTCCAACTGTGTCCCCTTGTTACTGTGTCCAATCTCTGGAACTTCCTGTCTTTGTCCACCTTGTCAATTCCTCTCAGTATTTTGTATGTCGTTATCATGTCCCCCCTATCTCTCCTGTCCTCCAGTGTCGTCAGGTTGATTTCCCTTAACCTCTCCTCGTAGGACATGTGTGTGTGTGTGTGTGTGTGTGTGTGTGTGTGTGTGTGTGTGTGTGTGTGTGTGTGTGTGTGTGTGTGTGTGTGTGTGTGTGTATGTGTGTGTGTGTGTGTGTGTACTCACCTAGTTGAGGTTGCAGGGGTCGAGTCCAAGCTCCTGGCTCCGCCTCTTCACTGGTCGCTACTAGGTCACTCTCCCTGAACCGTGAGCTTTATCATATCTCTGCTTAAAGCTATGTATGGATCCTGCCTCCACTACATCACTTGCCAAACTATTCCACTTCCTGACTACTCTGTGGCTGAAGAAATACTTCCTAACATCCCTGTGATTCATCTGTGTCTTCAACTTCCAACTGTGTCTCCTTGTTGCTGTGTCCCATCTCTGGAACATCCTGTCTTTGTCCACCTTGTCAATTCCTCTCAGTATTTTGTATGTCGTTATCATGTCCCCCCTGTCTCTCCTGTCCTCCAGTGTCGTCAGGTTTATTTCCTCGTAGGACATACCTCTTAGCTCTGGGACTAATCTTGTTGGAAACCTTTGGACTTTCTCTAGTTTCTTTACGTGCTTGGCTAGGTGTGGGTTCCAAACTGGTGCCGTATACTCCAATATGGGCCTAACGTACACGGTGTACAGGGTCCTGAACGATTCCTTTTTAAGATGTCGGAATGCTGTTCTGAGGTTTGCTAGGCGCCCACATGCTGCAGCAGTTATTTGGTTGATGTGCGCTTCAGGAGATGTGCCTGGTGTTATACTCACCCCAAGATCTTTCTCCTTGAGTGAGGTTTGTAGTCTCTGGCCCCCTAGACTGTACTCTGTCTGCGGTCTTCTTTGTCCTTCCCCAATCTTCATGACTTTGCACTTGGTGGGGTTGAACTCCAGGAGCCAATTGCTGGACCAGATCTGCAGCCTGTCCAGATCCCTTTGTAGTTCTGCCTGGTCTTCGATCGAATGAATTCTTCTCATCAACTTCACGTCATCTGCAAACAGGGACACTTCGGAATCTATTCCTTCCGTCATGTCGTTCACAAATACCAGAAACAGCACTGGTCCTAGGACTGACCCCTGTGGGACCCCGCTTGTGTGTGTGTGTGTACTCACCTATTTGTGGTTGCAGGGGTCGATTCTTAGCTCCTGGCCCCGCCTCTTCACCGGTTGCTACTGGGCCCTCTCTCTCCCCGCTCCATGAGCTTTATCAAACCTCGTCTTAAAACTGTGTATGGTTCCTGCCTCCACTGCATCATTTTCCAGGCTGTTCCACTGCCTGACAACTCTGTGACTGAAGAAATACTTCCTAATATCTCTCTGACTCATTTGTGTCTTCAACTTCCAATTGTGGCCTCTTGTTTCTGTGTCCCCTCCCTGGAACATCCTGTCTTTGTCCACCTTGTCTTTTCCACGCAGAATTTTATATGTCGTTATCATGTCTCCCCTGACCCTCCTGTCCTCCAGTGTCGTCAGACCGATTTCCCTTAATCTTTCTTCATAGGACATTCCCCTTAGTTCTGGAACTAACCTTGTCGCAAACCTTTGTACTTTCTCTAGTTTCTTGACGTGTTTTATCAAGTGCGGGTTCCAAACAGGTGCTGCATACTCCAGTATGGGCCTGACATACACGGTGTAGTGTCTTGAACGATTCCTTACTATGGTATCGGAATGCTGTTCTCAGGTTTGCCAGGCGCCCATATGCTGCAACAGTTATCTGATTGATGTGTGCTTCCGGAGACATGCTCGGTGTTATACTCACCCCAAGATCTTTCTCCTTGAGTGAGGTTTGCAGTCTTTGGCCACCTAGCCTATACTCTGTCTGTGGTCTTCTGTGCCCTTCCCCTATCTTCATGACTTTGCATTTGGCTGGATTAAATTCGAGAAGCCATTTGCTGGACCAGGTGTCCAGTCTGTCCAGGTCTCTTTGGAGTTCTGCCTGGTCTTCATCTGATTTAATTCTCCTCATTAACTTCACATCATCTGCAAACAGGGACACTTCTGAGTCTAACCCTTCCATCATGTCGTTCACATATACCAAAAATAGCACTGGTCCTAGGACCGACCCCTGTGGGACCCTGCTCGTCACAGGTGCCCACTGTGATACATCATTACGTACCATGACTCGTTGTTGCCTCCCTGTCAGGTATTCTCTGATCCATTGCAGTGCCCTTCCTGTTATATGCGCCTGATGCTCTAGCTTCTTCACTAATCTCTTGTGAGGAACTGTGTCAAAGGCTTTCTTGCAGTCCAAGAAGATACAATCAACCCACCCCTCTCTCTCGTGTCTTACTTCTGTTATTTTATCATAAAACTCCAGAAGGTTTGTGACACAGGATTTGCCTTCCATGAATCCGTGCTGGTTGGCATTTATACTCTTGTTCCATTCCAGGTGCTCCACCACTCTCCTCCTGATAATCTTCTCCATAACTTTGCATACTATACACGTCAATGACACAGGTCTATAGTTTAGTGCCTCTTTTCTGTCTCCTTTTTTAAAAATGGGAACTACATTTGCCGTCTTCCATACCTCAGGTAGTTGCCCAGTTTCCAGGGACGTGTTGAAGATTGTAGTAAGTGGCACACACAACATATCTGCTCCTTCTCTAAGGACCCACGGGGAGATGTTGTCTGGTCCCATTGCCTTTGAGGTATCGATGTCCCTTAGCAGTTTCTTCACCTCCTCCTCATCTGTATGTGTGTCGTCCAACACTTGTTGGTGTATTCCTTGCTGGTGTCCCCATCTGGTCTGTCCCCCCAGAGTCCTTCCTGTCTCTACTGTAAATACTTCCTTAAATCTCGTGTTGAGCTCCTCACATACCTCTTGATCGTTTCTTGTGAGTTCTCCACCTTCTTTCCTCAGCCTTATCACCTGGTCCTTGACTGTTGTCTTCCTCCTAATGTGGCTATACAGCAGTTTCGGGTCAAATTTGATTTTCGATGCTATGTCGTTTTCATACTGTCGCTGGGCCTCCCTCCTTATCTGTGCATACTCGTTTCTGGCTCTTCTACTAATCTCCTTGTTTTCCTGGGTCCTATGCCTCCTGTACCTTTTCCATTCTCTGTTGCAGTTAGGTTTTGCCTCCCTACACCTTCGGGTAAACCAAGGACTCGTTTTGGTCTTCCTATTATTTCTGTTTCCCTTGGGAACAAACCTTTCCTCTGCCTTCTTGCACTTTGTTGCCACATATTCCATCATCTCGTTTACTGATTTTCCTACCATTTCTCTGTCCCACTGAACCTCCTGCAGGAAATTTCTTATACCTGTGTAGTCCCCCCTTTTATAGTTTGGCCTGTCCCCTTCAGTTCCTGTTACCTTCTCCACTTGTAACTCTACTATATAATCAAAACTCAGAACCACGTGATCGCTAGCTCCAAGGGGCCTCTCGTAAGTGATGTCCTCAATGTCTGAAGTGCTCAGGGTGAACACAAGATCCAGTCTTGCTGGCTCATCCTCCCCTCTCTCTCTGGTTGTGTCCCTGACATGTTGATGCATGAGGTTTTCAAGTACCACATCCATCATCTTGGCTCTCCATGTTTCGGGACCCCAATGTGGCTCCAGGTTTTCCCAGTCGATCTCCCTGTGGTTGAAATCGCCCATTACCAGTAACTTTGCTCTGCTCGAGTGAGCTCTTCTTGCCACCTCAGCCAGTGTGTCCACCATCACCCTGTTGTTTTTCTTCGTACTCCTCTCTTGGCCTCCTGCAGTTCTGTGGTGGGTTATACATCACTCCAATGACTACTTTATGTTCTCCGGACTGAATTGTACCTACAATGTAGTCTCTTTCTCCAGTCATGTCCATGCCTTCCATTTCCTCAAATCCGCATCGGTGTTTTATGAGCAGTGCAACCCCTCCTCCCCCTCTACTCCTTCTATCTTTCCTCAGGATCTGATATCCCATTGGGAAGATTGTGTCTGTTATTGTCTCAGCAAGTTTTGTTTCTGTGACTGCTATGATGTCTGGGGATTTTTCAATGATTCACTGATTGTGCGTGTGTGTGTGTGTGAGACCCAACAATTAATATTTGCACCAATAACCAATTACAGTTGTGACCGGGTGTGGACATGTGAATTGCTCATTACTCTATAATTTGTTCATGATTGTAGCCATGTATAAACGTAAGTAAGTAAATTTACTTACATGATTCATTACTTTTGTACCTTGTTCAGCTATCAAAAATTTGAGGCCCAGTCCCTGGACCCATTATGTACCTCTGTAATTTTTTGACTACCGCTCACACCATGGGTATGGGGTGCATAATAAACATTAAATTAACTAAACCCTAAATTTTACCTCTCAAGACTTACACATTCATTACAATTTTGTACCATTATAGACAGGATATATACCCTGAGGGGTGTATTTCTCTCAGAATATATATAGCTGGCGCTGTATGACCCCCTACGAGATTAGCGCTTCTACGTAATTGTAATAATATATAGGGTGGTTTTAGATGTGTTTACTCTTGATTATCTTATAACCCAATTTATAATTTACTTATTTCTTCGATTAACTGAATTCCTCCAGTTAATGCACAATTAACTGTATGATTCTATTTCCAGGAGACGCATCCCATCCCACCTCTCAAACCAAATGGTAAGTGCTAGTCTACCACTCTATTAATAATAGGGCTTGTGATAATAAATACATTCTTTTTCTTTTTCTTCTTCTTTCCATATTCATTAAACCAAGGAGTTTTATTTTGGTGGTAGTGCAGGTGAGGGAGTACAGGTGGTAGAGCAGGTGGTGGTACAGGTGAGGGATTACAGGTGGTAGAGCAGGTGGTGGTACAGGTGAGGGAGTACAGGTGGTAGAGCAGGTGGTGGTACAGGTGAGGGAGCACAGGTGATAGAGCAGGTGGTGGTACAGGTGAGGGAGTACAGGTGGTAGAGCAGGTGGTGGTACAGGTGAGGGAGTGCAGGTGGTAGAGCAGGTGGTGGTACAGGTGAGGGAGTACAGGTGGTAGAGCAGGTGGTGGTACAGGTGAGGGAGTGCAGGTGGTAGAGCAGGGGGTGGTACAGGTGAGGGAGTACAGGTGGTTAGAGCAGGTGGTGGTACAGGTGAGGGATTACAGGTGGTAGAGGAGGTGGTGGTACAGGTGAGGGAGCACAGGTGGTAGAGCAGGTGGTGGTACAGGTGAGGGAAGCACAGGTGGTAGAGCGGGTGGTGGTACAGGTGAGGGAGTACAGTGAGGGAGTACAGGTGGTAGAGCAGGTGGGTGGTACAGGTGAGGGAGTGCAGGTGCTAGAGCAGGTGGTGGTACAGGTGAGGGGAGTACAGGTGGTAGAGCAGGTGGTGGTACAGGTGAGGGAGTACAGGTGGTAGAGCAGGTGGGTGGTACAGGTGAGGAGTACAGGTGGTAGAGCAGGTGGTGGTACAGGTGAGGGAGTACAGGTGGTAGAGCAGGTGGTGGTACAGGTGAGGGAGTACAGGTGGTAGAGCAGGTGTGTGGTACAGGTGAGGGAGTACAGGTGGTAGAGCAGGTGGTGGTACAGGTGAGGGAGTACAGGTGGTAGAGCAGGTGGGTGGTACAGGTGAGGGAGTACAGGTGGTTAGAGCAGGTGGTGGTACAGGTGAGGGAGTACAGGTGGTAGAGCAGGTGGTGGTACAGGTGAGGGAGTACAGGTGGTAGAGCAGGTGGTGGTACAGGTGAGGGAGTACAGGTGAGGGAGTACAGGTGGTAGAGCAGGTGGTGGTACAGGTGAGGGAGTACAGGTGAGGGAGTACAGGTGGTAGAGCAGGTGGTGGTACAGGTGAGGGAGTACAGGTGAGGGAGTGCAGGTGGTAGAGCAGGTGGTGGTACGGGTGAGGGAGATACAGGTGGTAGAGGAGGTGGTGGTACAGGTGAGGGAGTGCAGGTGGTAAGAGCAGGTGGTGGTACAGGTGAGGGAGTACAGGTGAGGGAGTACAGGTGGTAGAGCAGGTGGTGGTACAGGTGAGGGAGTACAGGTGGTAGAGCAGGTGGTGGTACAGGTGAGGGAGTACAGGTGGTAGAGGAGGTGGTGGTACAGGTGAGGGAGTGCAGGTGGTAGAGCAGGTGGTGGTACAGGTGAGGGAGTACAGGTGGTTAGAGCAGGTGGTGGTACAGGTGGGGGGAGTACAGGTGGTAGAGCAGGTGGTGGTACAGGTGAGGGAGTACAGGTGAGGGAGTACAGGTGGTAGAGCAGGTGGTGGTACAGGTGAGGGAGTGCAGGTGGTTAGAGCAGGTGGTGGTACAGGTGAGGGAGTACAGGTGAGGGGAGTACAGGTGGTAGAGCAGGTGGTGGTACAGGTGAGGGAGTACAGGTGGTAGAGCAGGTGGTGGTACAGGTGAGGGAGTACAGGTGGTAGAGCAGGTGGTGGTACAGGTGAGGGAGTACAGGTGAGGGAGTACAGGTGGTAGAGCAGGTGGTGGTACAGGTGAGGGAGTACAGGTGAGGGAGTGCAGGTGGTAGAGCAGGTGGTGGTACAGGTGAGGGAGTACAGGTGGTAGAGGAGGTGGTGGTGCAGGTGAGGGAGTACAGGGGGTTTAGAGCAGGTGGTGGTACAGTGAGGGAGTACAGTGGTAGAGCAGGTGGTGGTACAGGTGAGGGAGTACAGGTGAGGGAGTGCAGGTGGTAAGAGCAGGTGGTGGTACAGGTGAGGGAGTAACAGGTGGTAGAGCAGGTGGTGGTACAGGTGAGGGAAAGTACAGGTGGTAGAGCAGGGGGTGGTACAGGTGGGGGGTAAAACAGGTGAGGGAGTGCAGGTGGTAGAGCAGGTGGTGGTACAGGTGAGGGAGTACAGGTGGTAGAGCAGGTGGTGGTACAGGTGAGGGAGTACAGGTGAGGGAGTACAGGTGGTAGAGCAGGTGGTGGTACAGGTGAGGGAGTGCAGGTGGTAGAGCAGGTGGTGGTACAGGTGAGGGAGTACAGGTGGTAGAGCAGGTGGTGGTACAGGTGAGGGAGTACAGGTGGTAGAGCAGGTGGTGGTACAGGTGAGGGAGTACAGGTGAGGGAGTACAGGTGGTAGAGCAGGTGGTGGTACAGGTGAGGGAGTACAGGTGGTAGAGCAGTGGTGGACAGGTGAGGGAGTACAGGTGAGGGAGTGCAGGTGGTAGAGCAGGTGGTGGTACAGGTGAGGGAGTACAGGTGGTAGAGCAGGTGGTGGTACAGGTGAGGGAGTGCAGGTGGTAGAGCAGGTGGTGGTACAGGTGAGGGAGTGCAGGTGGTAGAGCAGGTGGTGGTACAGGTGAGGGAGTACAGGTGGTAGAGCAGGTGGTGGTACAGGTGAGGGAGTACAGGTGAGGGAGTACAGGTGGTAGAGCAGGTGGTGGTACAGGTGAGGGAGTACAGGTGGTAGAGCAGGTGGTGGTAACAGTGAGGGAGTACAGGTGAGGGAGTACAGGTGGTAGAGCAGGTGGTGGTACAGGTGAGGGAGTACAGGTGGTAGAGCAGGTGGTGGTACAGGTGAGGGAGTACAGGTGAGGGAGTGCAGGTGGTAGAGCAGGTGGTGGTACAGGTGAGGGAGTACAGGTGGTAGAGCAGGTGGTGGTACAGGTGAGGGAGTACAGGTGAGGGAGTACAGGTGGTAGAGCAGGTGGTGGTACAGGTGAGGGAGTACAGGTGAGGGAGTACAGGTGGTAGAGCAGGTGGTGGTACAGGTGAGGGAGTACAGGTGAGGGAGTACAGGTGGTAGAGCAGGTGGTGGTCCCAGGTGAGGGAGTAAAAGGTGGTAGAGCAGGTGGTGGTACAGGTGAGGGAGTACAGGTGAGGGAGCACAGGTGGTAGAGCAGGTGGTGGTACAGGTGAGGGAGTACAGGTGAGGAGTACAGGTGGTAGAGCAGGTGGTGGTACAGGTGAGGGAGTACAGGTGGTAGAGCAGGTGGGGGTTTACAGGTGAGGGAGTACAGGTGAGGGAGTACAGGTGGTAGAGCAGGTGGTGGTACAGGTGAGGGAGTACAGGTGGTAGAGCAGGTGGTGGTACAGGTGAGGGAGTACAGGTGAGGGAGTACAGGTGGTAGAGCAGGTGGTGGTACAGGTGAGGGAGTACAGGTGAGGGAGCACAGGTGGTAGAGCAGGTGGTGGTACAGGTGAGGGAGTACAGGTGAGGGAGCACAGGTGGTAGAGCAGGTGGTGGTACAGGTGTGGCAGTACAGGTGTTAGGAGGCAATGTTTTGGTATGAAATATAATACAGTTGAATTTCTAGTTTGTAGATTAGAGGTTATAAAGTTACAATAAGTATTAACGGGAGAGCTGAGGGAGGCTACTGGGATAGTTAGGGGATTTAGAGAGGATGGAGCAAAATAGGTTGATTCGGGGGGTGTATAAATCTGTAGTGAAGGGAATGAGTAGGAGTCTTCCTAGGATAGGTTGGAGGGAGGGGGGGTGACAGTTTTGTAAGTAAGGGGCTTGGGCATCCAACAGGCGTGTGTGAGACTGTTAGGAGTGAGTGAAGGCAAGTGGTTTTTATGAATTGACGTTGCTTTTGGAGTATGAACAAGGGTAACATTTATGGATTCAGGAAATCTGGTTAACTGGAATTGAGTCTTGTAGATGGAAAGTACAGTGCCTGCCCTGTATTGTCGGGTCGCCGACATTACAGCTCTCTCTCTCTCTCTCTCTCTCTCTCTCTCTCTCTCTCTCTTTTCTCTCTCCTCTCTCTTTTCCTCTCTCTCCTCTCTCTCTCTCTCTCTCACTTCTTACACAGGGTTTGACAAGGTTAGGTTAAGTATCCCTAGCTTTATTGACAAGCTATTTACAAGTAAAGGATTCCTAACTTTGTTGACAAGCTAAGAGCTGTTACCTACATCAGCTCATTTGAAAGCATTTTTATTGTTATGAAACATACAAGTAGGGAACAGGATGAAGTTGGAGCCATCTGTGGGCCAGAATTTTCATTTGATCAACTGACTTTATCTCGTTGACATCATAATGTTGTACGAATGTTCCAGACTCGAGTCATCCTGGGGATAAATGATTTCAGATGAAGTGATGTTCTGGAGAAGGGTACAGCCAGAGTGAAGTTGCTGCTTTTCTGCCCGTCTTGTGGTATAGAAGCTTGCTTCTCGCTGCCCTCGAAGTGGATCCAAGTGTGGTACTTTGACAATGTTGGCCTTGTACATAACAGTAAGGCCACCCACATCCCTCCTGTGTTGAAGGCTCTGCTGAAATGACAGATATATCCAGGATGGGTCCAGGCGAAAGATGAGACGTCTTGCTCTGTTCTTTATTCTGCCAAGCAACCGCAGATGAGAGGTGGGGGCAGGCATACCATGAAAGTGGAGTATACTCAAGGTGTAAGCGTACTTGTGCCTCAAAACAGAATCTTGCAACCCCTACTGTCAAGCAGATGCGAGATACGTTGAAATGGTGTTTGCAAGATTTACAACGTGGTGTTCTTCATGGTCAGTTTGGAGTCAAATTTCACCCCAAGGATATCAACTTCTTCCACAGGTACCAAGACTCTCCCATTCATACTCTCTCTCTCTCTCTCACTCTCTCTCTCTCTCTCTCTCTCTCTCTCTCTCTCTCTCTCTCTCTCTCTCTCTCTCTCTCTCTCTCTCTCTCTCTCACACACACACACAGCGAGTAACATGGCTATTGCCCAGAGGAGATATAGCATCTGATGCTGGTACACCCCCTACTTAGCAATTAGCTCAACAGAAAGGAAGGAGACATAACTTACGCTAAGGCCCTATCAGCCCACCAAGCAGGGCCGAGGAATGAAGGGGGAGAGTAGTTGGGAGCAGGGATAGTAAGTAAGGGAAGGGGGAAATGGAGAGGGGGGATAGGTCACATGAACAGGCACGACCATGCCACCAAGAGCTACAGGAAAAAAATAAGGGAGACAATGGCCATGTACAAACATGAACCAGAAACACAGAGGGAAAGGCAATGGGAGGAGAGGGAGAAGTCAGTGTTTACTCATGGGCTTCAGGAGAGCAAAGGGAGGACACACAATGAAAGACGGCAGGAAGAAAAATAGGAGACTGAAAACATCATCAAAGAAACAGGCGAGGAGGACATGACTGAGTTAGTAAATTTTCAGAGAATAGGGAAGTACTTGAAGGGGAGAAATCGGCCGGTTAAGCTGATTTTCATAACAGAAGCAGTGCAGAACAGGATCCCGGAAGAGAAACCACAGCTGAAGGAATTATCAACATACAAGAGGGTGTTCCTAGACCGAGACAGAACAAAAACAGAATGACAGCAGCTGAGGGAGAGAACACAGAAGTGAAAGGGGCTAGGAAGAGAGACAAGGACAGAATCAGCAGAGGACAACCAGAGCAGGGCAGAGTAACAAGAGCAAGCACATACAGAACCACCCTCAGAACCCCACAACCAAACATCCTATCCCAACACAAACTACAATCCACACAGCCCCCACCCTACACTATGCTGTAGAATCCCACAGCAAACTGCCAGGTCCCCCACCACACAGTGTTGGAGAGGAAACTGAAGGTATGGTGCACCAACACTGATGGAATACGAATAAGTTGGAGAAGTGGCACAAAAGAGTCAAAGAGGCATCACTGGACATCATAGCTCTCACAGAAACCAAGCTCACAGGAATGATAGCAGATGCCATCTTTCCAATGGGATATCAGATTCTGAGGAAAGACAGACGGAACAGACGGGGTGGAGGAGTGGCACTGCTCTTCAAAACCCAATGAGATTTTGATGAGCTGGAGAGAGGAGACAGAGGAGAAGCAAGAGATTACATATAAAAACACTTTAGTCTGGAGGTCCCAAGGATGTATAACCCACCGCAGAACATTAGGAGGCCAAGGCAAGAGTATGATGAGAGTAATAGAGCGATGGTTGACACTGCCTGAAGTGGCCAGAAGGGCTCATGCGAGCAGGGCAAAGCTGCTGATAATGGTTGATTTCAACCACAAGGAAATCGACTGGGAGAACCTGGAGGCCACATGGGGGCCCAGAAACTTGGAGGGCTAAAATGATGGAAGTGGTACTGGAAAACCTCATGTACCAACACGTAAGGGACACTACCAGAGACAGAGGAGAGGATGAATCAGCTAAACTGGACCTAGCATTAACCTTCGGTAGTGCAGATATTGAGGACAACACATATGAAAGACCCCTCGGGACCAGTGTTCGCGTGGTTCTTAGCTCTGAATACATAATAGAGTTACAAGTGGAGAGGGAACCAGGAAAGGCAGGACGAATGAAGCCAAACTACAAGAAAGAGGACTACGAAGGTATCAAGAATTTCCTGCACGGAGTTCAGTGGGACTGAGCACTGGTGGGGAAGTCAGTAAATGAGATGATGGAATATGTGACAACAATATATAAGGAAGCTGAGGAGAGATTTGTAATAACGAGAAGGCCAGGATAAGCCCTTGGTTTACCCAAGGGTGTAGAGAGGCGAAAACCAAGTGTGCTAGAAAATGGAAGAAGTATAGAAAGCGAAGGACCCAGGAGAATAAAGAGAGCAGTAAAGACGAAGGTAAAAGACGTTTCGCTCTTGTGGAGCTCAGAAAGAACGAAACGTTGTTCCAGTAAAAGTTTCTACGAGGCCTGGAAGCAATAAGAACAACCTCATAAGAACGAGAAAAGTTTGTTCTGCGTCTTACTTCTTTTTTAGCAGTACATTATTTTATCCATGTATTACAGTATTATAATTTTAATTAATCGATAATGACGATCATTATTTTTATATATTATTCCATTTGCTTTGCTTTTCGCACAGATGTGTTGATCCGCATGTCCCAGGTGGGGCTGTGTGGGTCAGACCTCTCCTTTGTATACAAGGGATATCTGGGGGACTGTGTGATGGAGCCACCCGTAGGTGTTGGTCATGAGTGTTCTGGAGTAGTCACCAAATGTGGCCCCGCCGTCAAGAACTTCAAACCAGGTGAGGACAAGAATAAAATTACAGTGTACCATGCATGGTACACTGTACCATGTATGATGCACTGTGCCATAAACATTATCTCGGTCCAGAAGTCAGTACCTGACCAGCCGGGCTGTGGTTCATACGTCGGGTTGCGTGAGGCCAGCAGTAACAGCATGACCTGGTCACAGACCGGGCCGCGGGAGCGTTTACCCCCGAAACCCTCTCCAGGTATACTCCAGGTATAAGAGCATTCGAACCTATGAACTCTGCGTGCACGGTACATACGCCACACAGCCAGACCTCAAGGTAAGTATGGGTGTCAAGTGTGGTTCCATACCCTGGAACACCAGGCTTGTGATAATTTTTTTCATCTGATCCTGTCACATACACGAACTTCGAAATGCAAAGTGCACAGGTTCGGCTCCCGTTCTGTACTGAAAGATAATGTCTGCATATAATTCCATTCGTTTGCTTGTTGTTTTGTTAAGCCGAATCGCTGAGTTTAATTAACCTATTCAGCAAAAGTTTTCTTTGCCGATTTAGCAGAATAAAAATTGGTTTTTGGCATAAATCAGCAGCAATCAATCTGAGCATAAAGAAAAAATATATAACATTGATTTGAAGCAATATTAAATAAGCTTAAACTGACCAGTGCTATACACAGAATTTAGCTAAAAAAAAAATTTCGCTTGTTTAAGTTAGGTTATGTGAGGCTTCTTAGTTATGTTTGGTCCAAAAATAAAACATTATATATCATTGTCAGTGAAAAAAAATATATCTGTCCACCTGTATACTATATATATATATATATATATATATATATATATATATATATATATATATATATTATATAATATATATATATATATTATATATATATATATATATATATATTGAACTCTGATCGCGGGTTCTATCCCTGCCCGTGCTATAGTTTGTGTCATAGTATACTTCGTTCTCAGATAATGCACTCCACTGTTAACACAAATAGCCAGGTCTTTCCTCCTCTCGTGTCTTGTGCAATGATGAGAAGAATGTGGCTGATGTGGTTCCAGTAATGTTTTATTAATCACTAAGATAAGATAAGATAAGATTTGTTCAGATTTTTAACCCGGATGGTTAGTTACCAAGGATAACCCAAGAAAGTCAGTGCCTTATTTCCATTGGGGACCTTTAATCTTGTCCCCCAGGATGCCACCCACGCTAGTCGACTAACACCCAGGTACCTACTGAATGCTAGGTGAGCAGGGACATGTGTAAGGAAAAATGCCCAACGTTTCCACCCATGTCCGGGATTAATTAAACCACGGACACTCAGTTATTATTATTATTATTAATTATTAAAGATTAGTCGGTATTCTCCCGGCCCGGGCCTTTTCCAAGTGGTGGCCCGGCCTTGGTTCCCTCTTTAGGGAGTGTCTGAGACCTAAACTCTCCCATGGGAGGAGGCACAAGTACCTCCTCATCTTTGGGACCAACTGTCCCCAGGCCTAGCCTCAAGCTAGGCCTCTCTGGTCTGCCATCCCCGCCCCAAGGGGGCAAATGGGAATGACAGTCTTATGAGCTAAAGGCTCGGGCTCAGGCACCTACCCTACCCTAGAAGGGTTAGGCATGGTGTCGATCGGACACTCAGTGTGTGAGGAGAGTGTTGCCTACCCGTAACTACCTAATATTAATGTCATGAAATTATTATGAAAATTCTAATATATATTACGATGATTCAAAACCTCCCTGAATTATTAATAAGGCTTAAATCCACTGAAATATTTAAGGGTTCGTTAAGGATGTTTGGTTTAATTGTTCGTTAAGAATGTTAGAATAACTACTCTGTTATAGACATGCAACTTAAGATACTAAATGTTTAATATTTATTAGCCTATAGTGGGGGATTTGGGTGTATGCACGCAAATTTTCACATAATTGTTGACAAAATTAAACCCAATGACACTGCGCCATATCACAGAGCCTTTTTCGTTATAGATGATAATTTCTTAACTGCAGGTGACCGGGTTACCATAGAACCAGGTGGTCCTTGTCGCACCTGTGACTTGTGCATTCTTGGCAAGTATAACGTGTGTGACCAGGCCAGCTTCCACTCGTCCGTGGCGCTCTACCCGGGCTGCCTCGCTCGGTACTACGTTCAGGATGCTGACCTCTGCTTCAAGTAAAGTCTTATCAGAAGCATGTTTTTAATACTGATGACAATGACTTAGTTCCCTAAGTCATTGTCATCATATATGTTTGTGTAGATTTCGCCTGCTCTTGCGAATTCCTTGCATTGTTAAAATCTCTAGTAAGGCTGATGCATGCAGGGAATGAGATGAAAAGCTGTAAGCCTTCTCCCTGAAAGCTGGCTGCCTTGGATCAAACGTGTAGCGCAAGACGCCAAGGTATTGTCCAGTGTGGGTAGATTGATAAAGCACTGCGTATCTTGTTCTAAGGTTCGTAGGCTCGAGTCTCCTTCAGCCAGAGATCAGTGTTTGTGTATATTTCGCCTGCTCTTGCGAATTCCTTGCGTTTATATATATATATATATATATATATATATATATATATATATATATATATATATATATATATATGTCGTGCCGAATAGGCAGAACTTGCGATCTTGGCTTAAATAGCAACGCTCATCTTGCCATATAGGACAAGTGAAAATTTGTGTATGCAATAATTTCGCCAAAATCATTCTGAACCTAACGAAAAAAATATATTTCACTGTGTTTGTTTAGTATTAAATTATTATAAACAAATCTAAAATATATTTAGTTGGGTTTGGCAAAAAATAATTGTTCTTGTTATAATAAGGTTGGGTAAGTTTTCTAAGATTTTTTTGGGAGCAAAATTAAAATTTTTTTTTTTAAACATTAATAAAAAAAATTATCTTTAAAACGTATAAGAAAATTTTTAGAAAGGACTTAATTTTAAATGAGTTCTTGCTAATTGACCTTTTTTCTATTCGGCCGACATTTATTTTTAATATATTAATATTATATATATTATATATATATATATATATATATATATATATAATAATATATATATATATTAATATTTTGGTAGGTATGGTTGGTAGACAGAAACCCGCCCAGGGAGGTACTCCCTCCTGCCAGTGGGTAAAACGAAAGCCTGAATTGTTTTGCAGATGAAGGTTTGTGGTGTCCATTTTTCTGTCCATAAAATGAAGGGTTTTTGGTACTCTTGCTACTTTACTTACACTTGGTCCACTACCATACAGTACAAGCATATATATATACACACCCCTCGGGGGTTTTCTTCTTTTTTCTTCCATTTTTTGTTTTTGGAACAGAAGGGGAACAAAATTTCTTTTCCCGTAAGCCATGGGGAGCAAGGGGCTAGAAAACCCCTTCTCCTGTATATTTTACTAAATTTAAAAGGAGAAATTTTCGTTTGCCCTTTTTGGGGCCACCCAGTCGTGGGATACGGCTGGTGTGTTGAAAGAAAGATATAAAAATTTAAAATTTAATATAATATATATATTATATATTATATTTTATTATATATATTTAATTATATTATATATATATATATATTTTTCTTTCTTTAAAAAACCCGGCCATTCCCACGAGGCAGGGTGGCCCTAAAGGAAAAACAAAAGTTACTACCCCCTTGCCCCCCGGCTTTTAGCCCCTTTACAAACCAGGGCTTACGGGGGAAAAATTTGTTCCACTTCCCCATGGGGTAAGAGGAAATAAACAAGAATAAAACTAGGAAAAAAAGAAACCCCGAGGGATTGTATAAATGTGCTTGTTTCATGATGTGTAGTGTGGGCCTAAAATGTAAAAGAAAGGGAAACGTACCCGAATTGCATGTTTTGAGACGAAAAAGGACCGCAATCCTCCATCCTAAAACAATTCGGCTTTCGTTTACACTATTTGGCGGTGGTTTACCCCCCAGGGTGGTTTCTGTCTACCCCAAACCCTTTTTCCCCACCTCATATTTAATAATTAATTTTTATTTTTCTTTTAATTAAATATTTTATTTTTATTTTTTTTTATATATATATGTCGTGCGAATAGGCAGAACTTGCCATCTTGGGTTAAAAGCAACGCTCCTTGCCATATAGGGCAAGTGAAATTTTTAGTATTTAAAAAATTTCGCCAAAAACATTTTGAACCTAACGAAAAAAAAAATGTTTCACTGGTTTGTTTGTATTAAAAATTTTGTAAACAAATCTAAAAATATTTTGTTGGGTTGGCTAAAAAAAATTTTTTTTGTAAAATAAAGGTTGGTAAGTTTTCTAGTTCCTTTTTTGGGGCAAAATTTTAAAAATTTTTTCTCACATTAAGAAAAAAATATATTTTTAAAAATATAAGAGAAAATTTTTTGAAAGGACTTAATTTTAAATGAGTTCTTTCTAAATGACCAGTTTTTCAATTCGGGACGCACACCACCACACACACACACCCCACACACACACACACACATATATATATATTTTATATATATATTTTATATATATATAATATATATATATATATAATTAATATATATTATATATAATATAATATGAGTACGCAGATTTTCCCCAGATTGCTCAAACCATTTTCCCTTTATCCCTTCCATAGCATCAAAAGAGCTGATAAGACAAATTCCCTTTCCCGAAAACCCAGTGACTCAGCAGGGTTTCAGAACCCCAGCCCAAGCCAGTGGGCCCTCACTGAATGGGAGAAAATCCCTTTCCCCCCCCTCCAACCCAAACCCCAGTTCAGCCTGGCTCACAAACAGCAAGCTGGGATGGCCCGAAAATTTTTCCCCGAAAAAAGGGGCTTGCCAACATGCTCAGGGGTGCCCAAAACCGGGTAGGAAGATGCCCCTCTCCCGGCTGTGAGGGGCACATCACTCTGGGGGGCTTCCTCCAAAAAAGGTTTCCCCTAAACGGCAATGAGGAAAAACGACTCGACCCTAAGACCCTTGTATTGCAGTGGCCTTTGTGCCTTTTAGGGGTCCAAATTTACACAAAAATATACGTGTATTTTCGGCGAAGGGACAAGCACACCAATACAGTCTACAGGGTCTTAACTGTTCCAAAACCAAAGGGGCTGGTATGAAAGACACAATGGCCTTACTACAGTGGATCCCCCGGAGAGGGACCCCGATCACTAGAAACCAAAACAAACCCAAACCCAGCAAACTGCCGATGGATCACCATCATCCTTGGAAAATGGCAAGCTCAAGCATGGGATATCCCTGTGTGTCCACAGGGGCTGAAAACCTATACCCATCACGTGTTGGGGCGACAGGGAGAGCTGTTTGACCACAGGGGGAGTACAAGATCAAAAAAAAGGGGACATAAGCCAACAGTATCAATTTGTCCCAGTGGGATCGGCCTTGGGATCGGGGGAAAAAAAAATGCCACACTTTTCCTTAAAAATTGGGGTTCCAGACTCATCGCGTCCCAGGGCCCCAAGGGCACCCATTTTTCATTCTTAGCGCCTCGCATGGCCATCCAGGGGGGAAATGCTTGCTGCATATTTGGCCGCGCCCGGGCTTGGGAGGATGGGGGAAATTCATGATCCCTAATACATTGTACCCCTGTATTCGTTTTTTGTTTTTTCTGTAAAAAGTTTTTGTTATTAAAAATGTTTTCATAGAATTAAAATTAGGGGGTGGGTAAAGAAAATATTAAAAAAAACCCCGGGGGAGAAACCTTTAGTTTTCCCTGAGGGACGTTTTTTGTCTTCTTGAGGAAAGAGGGCCCCATTCCAGATAATATATAATAAATTTTTATATTTATATATTATTTATAATATTTATATTATTATATTTATATATAAAACCAAAGGGAGAAGTAGAATGTTTCGCTTGGTTTGGAATTTGCATTTAATAATTTAAAAATATATATATTTTATATTAATTTTTTATATATATATATATATATTTTTTATATTATTGTACCCACGAAAACGAGTGGGATTGATCATGACAACAGACTAGCCAAGGGTGAACCCTGTGCTTGGCCGTTCCCGGGTAGCGAAAACGCATGGCGCTTTTGACCCACACACCTTGCAAGGCGCACCACCAAGCTAAGGGTTTTACCTGCCCTCGAAGGACTACGGTGGTGTGGACGCCTTTGGCTAAATTTATTTACTCCCTGTTTGTGTACTGCCAAAGCAGTATATTAATTTTTTACACACGAACGAGTGTTATTTTTCAATAACAACACTGCACTAGCCAAGGAGTAGAACCCATGCTGTTTTGGCCTGCCTCATGGTGAGCGAAAACGCATGACTCTTTAGACCACTAGACCACACAGTCCTTAACAACGGCGCATCCAGCCAAGCTAGATGTTGTACCCGTTTGGCTGGATGCGCCATTGTTAAGGATTATATGGGAATGCTCAAGAATGCATCTTACTATGAGTGTTGCTCCTGCTAGTTCACTTGTCCGTTTCACTCTCTGTCCCAGTTTAAGCAGTAGTATGGAGACATTTACTGTCGGAAGGTGAGATGCAGTTCACTAGTAGAAGAAAGAAGGTAATCATTGAGAGGGCACGTGCCTCTCAAATCCATCCCTTCTCACATGAAAAAGTTGTCAAAGGCGTTTTCTGTACCAAGATACCGTTCTGTTGCAGTGTCTGACAGTGAATATGAATTTAAATGGCATAAAATACCGACAAGTTGATAAGACACATGCATCAGTTAGGTAACTTTATTCCGAAACGTTTCGCCTACACAGTAGGCTTCTTCAATCGAATACAGAAGAGTTTAGCAGAAGCAATAGAGATGTGAAGACGAAGCAATCAGTCCATCACCCTTGAAGACGTAGTTTTGAGGTGGTCAGTCCCTCAGCCTGGAGAGGGACTGACCACCATAGTCTGGAACAGTGTGAAGTTTAAGCAGCAGTATGGAGTTTACTTGTAGTCGCTTCCAGAGGTCACCGCCCCTGCAGCCCGGTCCCAGACCAGGCCGTCTCGTTGTGTCAGAAATTTGAAAAAAAAAACAAATCCTTTGGTACTTTTGTAAGTTTTGTTTACATACAAATCTTAAGAGCAGTGCGACATCAAATGAAAGAAATACAGAACAATATTGTATATACAAAGATTAGGTGAGATAATTACATTATGTCGGGTCACATTTTATTAATTTGTCACAAATCTTAAAAACAAAGCAAAATTACAAATGACAATTCCTTGTATAAAGATTGCCTTAAGTCTGTGACTCTTAGGATGCTAGGTCACCGTTTTTTAATTTATAAACTTAATTTATAAACGGGTACTTAAGAATTTCAGTAATATATCATCTGTTTTGAAATTTCCTTATATTCATATTAATGTACTTTACGTTTTATGTGTAAAATTGTTATTGCTTCTTTAATAATCAGTAATTTGAGGTAAAAGAAGATGTAAATAATAAAAATAGTATAATATAATTTGTGAAAAAACAGTCAAAAATCGTGACAGACTTCCTGACAACGTGAGTGACGAGGAGGGCGCCATCATTGAACCTCTGGCTGTTGCTGTCCATGCATGTCGCAGGGCTAGTGTTGAGCTGGGTTCATCTGTACTCATATGTGGTGCTGGTCCCATTGGTCTCCTCTGCCTCTTGACTGCTAAGGCTATGGGCGCCACCAACATCCTAGTTACTGGTAATGTTATCGAGGACTGTTGTGACTCATGATTAATAATATCTTTATTTCTACAAGTACATGTACAAGGTATACAGTCCTAGCTGACATCAATGACATACTACTATATAGAAAGCCCCTTGTTATGCAGAGCATTTCGGGCAAATTAGGTCAGTTTTGTTCCAGGATGCGATCAACACCAGTCCACTAACATCCAGGTACCCATTTTACTGATGGGTGAACATGGACAACAGGTGTAAGAAAACACGCCCAATGTTTTCACCCTTGCCGGGAATCGAACCCGGACACTCAGCATGTGAAGCGAAAGCTTTGCCTACCAGGCCACGAGCCATGGATGGTGTTACAGATATTGTAATAAATATATAGATGGGGTTCCAGAAGTTGTGAACATCTTCAGTTATAGCCTATCAAGTTAGCCTATCAACTATGCCTTGGAGACCAAATTCATATATGTTTCCAAGCAAGGTGTCATGGCAGTATTTCAGCCCATTTCATATTTTGTATTCGGTGCAAAATTATTTACATGAATTGTTGAATAACAGAAATGTCTGCCTGACCTTTTTCTTTTGTCTTCATGCAATTTTTACTTCGCTCACAAGTCGAGAATGCCTCATCCAGTCGGCTTCAAATTTTCAATGCTTGTATACTGCAACAAAGACCAGATTCTTGGAGCACTTGGCATATTCATGTGCTCTATGACCAAAGTTCTTGAGCCCATTCCTGGCATCCTGGAATGGCTTAGATAACTTCCAGTGGTTTAGCTTTAAACCTTCAAAAACGGTGCCTCATAATTTGAAGATAACAGAGAGTGAAATTAAAGTGTGTAGCTGCACACTTTTGTGTGTAAATTTGTGTGAAATTTCTATTCCCGTTAAATCACTTGAATTAAATTCAAGTTTACCTCTTCTTACTGGCTTCAGTATTTAATAAATAACGCATCAACTAGCCACTTCGGTGGCAAAATCTAATCTTAGGGACAGGATAGCAGTCATTAAGTTTGGTTTGCTTGCAAGCAAATATATTGATGTAGTAAAATAAAAAAAAATATAGAACTGTTGGAGTCCATCCCTTAACTGGAGAATGATTCAACTGATAAGCTTCAAATTTTCATCATTACTGTTGTTTTGTAAACACAAGGCTCGCGTTCCTATTGGCTGCCATAAGTCCCAGTTTGCCACTTTTATTGAATAAATAATAATATTCATTTAAATTTCAATAACTATGGAATGCCTTTCGTGATTAGCTTCAAAATATTATTGACGATTTATTCTATAAAAAAAGATAATAATCCATAAGGTTAGTCTCAGTCGGTGCAAATTTGAAATTTTACCGAAATGTTTAAAAAAAAGAAAAAAATGGAATCATTGAAATCAGATCAATTACTAGAGCATGCCGTTTCTGATCGGCTTCAAACTTTAATCATTGATGGACTTTATTAAAACAAATCTTGCCACTTACTTTAAGCTGTGCAAATTTAAATTTGTCAAATTTGTTAAGTAAATTGTTTCCTCTGTAATAACTAGAAAATGTCTCTTATATTAATTAGGTCAAACCTTGAATGCTGGTGTAACTTAATTTGAAGTAAAGGCTGCCCTATGCACAATATTACATAGGTCATATACAAATTTTGTTTATGTGATAGGTGGAGACGGGTTCCTCTGATCGATTTCAAAATTTCAACACTGGTGTTTCCTGCCTAGAATGTTGGTGCAGTTAATGGCGTGTGTAGAAACCATTTTTGCCTCTTTCTTTTTTTTCATATTTTTTAAATCTCAAAAAATGTAGCATTATTTTACTTTATTGCATTATTGTGCATTGATGCTGGCGAGGGGCTCTTGATCCAAGGAAGTGAGCTTCTCTTCCCGTGCTTGAGCTGAATTTGAATGATTCCCATTGCACAGGCACTATGCTAGCTGCGGGGCTCATATAGCGACTGTGTAATATAGGGATACCTTTCTCGGGTCGCTCAGCGACTGAAATACATCTAGTTTCTTTTTCGCTTTTACGGGAATTGTTTACATGCAAAATACATTTTTCACACATTGTCTGCCTGCCTTTTTTATTATCTCCAACTCTTGTTTTAATATACGTACATTGTTCCCGATGATCACATTAATATCAAATTTAGAAACTTAGCCCTGCATAGTAGTCCTTTTATTGAGAGAATTACAATAATTAAAAAGTCATGCAGAAATGAGCAAATATATTTTATAACCTCTAACAGATATCAAAGAGAATCGTCTTAAGACTGCTAAGAATATCGGTGCTCATCACACACTGCTGGTGGATGACAGTGACCCCAAGATTCTAGCTAAGAAGGTCAAAGATGTAATGGGTTGCATGCCACCCATAACACTGGAGTGCAGTGGCACACAGTCTGCTATTACCACCGGTATCTATGTAAGTTGAAAGCTAATTATGTTAATATGCTAATGAATGGCACATACGGACAAACATGAACATAATATAACAGCTTCTTTAAGAGGACTTCATTGTGAAGTCGAAATATAAGAATCTTATTTTTATTTTCTTCATCGTTTGTGCCATCAATGTATTTAAAATTTTGTGTTTGGGTGTATTTTCAGATTTGTAAGAGTAATGAAGGAGAATATAAAGGATCTTAGCTTAAGAAAGGTTTATGATTCAACATGATCAAAAAATAAATTATTTATTAACTGTGCCCTCCCCCACACACACTCACACACTCGCAGACACACACGCACACACACACACACACACACACACACACACACACACACACACACACACACACGCACACAAACGGATAGCGTTCCGATACCTCAGTAAGGAGTCGTTCAAGACTCTGTATACCATTTACGTCAGGCCCATACTGGAGTATGCAGCACCAGTTTGGAATCCACACCTAGTCAAGCACGTCAAGAAATTAGAGAAAGTGCAAAGGTTTGCAACAAGACTAGTCCCAGAGCTACGGGGATTGTCCTACGAAGAAAGGTTGAGGGAAATCGGCCTGACGACACTGGAGGCCAGGAGGGTCAGGGGAGACATGATAACGACATATAAAATACTGCGCGGAATAGACAAGGTGGACAAAGACGGGATGTTCCAGAGATGGGACACAGACACAAGAGGTCACAATTGGAAGTTGAAGACTCAGATGAATCAAAGGGATGTTAGGAAGTATTTCTTCAGTCATAGAGTAGTCAAGCCGTGGAATAGCCTAGAAAGTGAAGTAGTGGAGGCGGGAACCATACATTGTTTTAAGGCGAGGTATGATAAAGCTCATGGAGCAGGGTTGAGAGAGGACCTAGTAGCAATCAGTGAAGAGGCGGGGCCAGGAGCTATGAATCGACCCCTGCAACCACAAATAGGTGAGTACAAATAGGTGAGTACACACACACACACACACACACAGGAGCCGGATAACATCTCTCCATGGGTCCTGAGAGAGGGAGCAGAGGCACTATCTGTACCCTTAACAACAATATTCAACACATCTATCGAAACACGGAGATTTCCTGAATCATGGAAGACAGCAAATGTAGTCCCAATCTTTAAAAAAGGAGACAAACATGAAGCACTAAACTACAGACCAGTGTCACTGACATGTATAGTATGCAAAGTCATGGAAAAGATTATCAGGAGAAGAGTGGTGGAACACCTAGAAAGGAATGATCTCATCAACAGCAGCCAACATGGTTTCAGGGACGGGAAATCCTGTGTCACAAACCTACTGGAGTTCTATGACATGGTGACAGCAGTAATACAAGAGAGAGAGGGGTGGGTGGATTGCATATTTTTGGACTGCAAGAAGGCGTTTGACACAGTTCCACACAAGAGATTAGTGCAAAAACTGGAGGACCAAGCAGGGATAACAGGGAAGGCACTACAATAGATCAGGGAATACTTGTCAGGAAGACAGCAGCGAGTCATGGTATGTGGCGAAGTGTCAGAGTGGGCACCTGTGACCAGTGGGGTTCCACAGGGGTCAGTCCTAGGACCAGTGCTGTTTCTGGTATTTGTGAGCAACATGACGGAAGGAATAGACTCCGAGGTGTCCCTGTTTGCAGATGACGTGAAGTTTATGAGAAGAATTCATTCGATCGAAGACCAGGCAGAACTACAAAGGGATCTGGACAGGCTGCAGACCTGTTCCAGCAATTGGCTCCTGGAGTTCAACCCCATCAAGTGCAAAGTCATGAAGATTGGGGAAGGGCAAAGAAGACCGCAGACAGAGTACAGTCTAGGGGGCCAGAGACTACAAACCTCACTCAAGGAAAAAGATCTTGGGGTGAGTATAACACCAGGCACATCTCCTGAAGCGCACATCAACCAAATAACTGCTGCAGCATATGGGCGCCTAGCAAACCTCAGAACAGCATTCCGACATCTTAATAAGGAATCGTTCAGGGCCCTGTACACCGTGTACGTTAGGCCCATATTGGAGTATGCGGCACCAGTTTGGAACCCACGCCTAGCCAAGCACGTAAAGAAACTAGAGAAAGTGCAAAGGTTTGCAACAAGACTAGTCCCAGAGCTAAGAGGTATGTCCTACGAGGAGAGGTTAAGGGAAATCAACCTGACGACACTGGAGGACAGGAGAGGTAGGGATGACATGATAACGACATACAAAATACTGAGAGGAATTGACAAGGTGGACGAAGACAGGATGTTCCAGAGATGGGACACAGCAACAAGGGAACACAGTTAGAAGTTGAAGACTCAGATGGATCACAGGGATGTTAGGAAGTATTTCTTCAGCCACAGAGTAGTCAGGAAGTGGAATAGTTTGGGAAGTGATGTAGTGGAGGCAGGATCCATACATAGCTTTAAGCAGAGGTATGATAAAGCTCACGGTTCAGGGAGAGTGACCTAGTAGCGACCAGTGAAGAGGCGGGGCCAGGAGCTTGGACTCGACCCCTGCAACCTCAACTAGGCGAGTACAACTAGGTGAGTACACACACACACACACACACACACACACACACACACACACACACACACACACACACACACACACACAACATATATATATATATATATATATATATATATATTATATATATATATATAATAGTGAAGAATATAGTCTCTAGATTGTGCTAAGACTGCACAAGTTATAGTAGTGATGGACAAATTATATTTCTTGTACAGGCG